ATATGTAATGCATTGACCAAAAACACAATAAAGGCAGTAGCTACCGATAACATCGGCTTTAATAAAAAAAAAAAAAACAAAAAAAAAAAAAAAAAGAATTTGGAATTAAATATTTAAATAGTATTGTTAATAGATATATTTTTAATTCAAATTGAACAGATGTCTAATTTTGATTAAACTACATTCAGTTGCTAGATTTATTCTAATTGACAAACCTAATTTTAACTAATAAAACATATATAGTATTCTCTCAATATAAGATAACAATAATAAAAGTTATTTATATAATACTATAGCTATATAATATTATACTAGCATATGAGAATGTAAAATCTAGTTTGGAGTATAGAAAATTTTTTGGCATAAATAACTTTGGTTTCTAGAATAAGCATACCATATTTGCATGAATTAATGCCTATAGGCATTATTTAAAAACATGCAATTTAAAAAGAACAATAATTAATTTAGCTAAAGGCTTTTAATAACAAAAAACTATAAATTAAATTTAGCCAAATTAATTATTAATTCTTTTTAAATTATATTCTCTAAATAACACCTTTTAGCATTAATCTGCATAAATATGATATTTTTTAGTTCAAAAAACTCTATAATCTGAACTCCAATAAATAATTTGATTTAAACAAATATATACAAAAAAAAAGTAATACGTATAATGCATTAAAATTTGTATTGCTACTCTTACTATTGCATAAAATTAAAAACCAGTCTATATAATTATTATAAGTTTTAGTATAATCTGTCCCTTAAAAATATTTAATAACCAATTATTTAATGATATTACTAATGAAGATAACATATTATTTGAGTATAAAAAAATCTCTAATTTTAAAATAATCTTTATGAAAATGTTGTTAGTAATAAAAATATTATTGATAATAAAAATGTTACTGATAATAAAAATGATAATCAAACTGAAGATAAAGAAGATAATACAACAGAATTTTTGCCTATCACATCTTACTTTAATTTTTGTAAAGATTTTTTAAAAAAAGTTCAAACCTAAATGTAATGCAAAAAAAAAACAAAATCTGAAAGCAATTGGGTATAAAAATATACTCATCATGATAAAGCAACAAAAGTCAAACATTGTGATGTTTGTATATATAATGATAATAGTATTTCTAGAAAGTGCACAACAGTGTTTATGCCTAAAATATTAACAACTAATATTGCTGCATACTTGCATACTGAACATCAAATTTTTAAAAATTTTTAAAACTCAAAAATAGAAAGCATAACTACCTCTCATTAACTACAATTCCTACTGCAACTAATCAAAAAACAATTGAAACAATAATAAAAAATATATAGAAAACATGTCATCATTTTCTGAAAAACAGCAAAATTATATTGCTTATCAGCTTGTTGCTTGGATAGTTAAAAAGATAATGCCATTGAATTGTATTAATTATAATTGGTTTTGAGACTTTTGTTATAAGATTAATCAATATTTGAAGTTCTCTATACTAATACAATTAAAAACTTAATTAAAGAATTAGCACTTTATATACATGCAATATTAAAGAAAATAATATTCCAAATAATGGTTTTTGTTTGTATTACTACTGATTTATAAACCCAAAATCATGCTTCATATATTGGCATAACAGTCTGCTAGCTTTCTAAAGGCTTTACAATTTACCAATACTTAATAACAATCAAGCATTTTGCTTATCTATATATAGGAGATTAGATTGAAGATTTTTTGTACAAAATTTTTGCTAAATAGAATATGTTTGATAAAGTTAAAGCAATAATAACTGATAATGCAACATTAATAGTTAAAGCAATTAGACAATTAGGCATTACTCACCTTAGCTGTACAACTTATATCATTCACCTTGTAGTTACAGATGATTTAAAAAAAATAAAGCTTTGATTTTACATGCAAATTTATTAAATAATTGTTTGGTAAACTATGATAAATATTAATCATTATTCTAAAAAATTTAGCATAAGATAATTAGAAAAAAAAGGAAAATCAATGCATTATCAATATGTATATTTTAGATCTCATATCAAGTAATACAGTTACTAGATAGAATTTTACTTATTTTGTTCTCTAGTGGCTTCTAGAACTTTAAAAATTAACTTTAGAATTGGTGAAAGGTTTGGAAAATAATTCTGATCATACTATTCATGCTGATAGTTTTAGTCTAAATGAAAAGATGCTTTTTGATAAAGAATGAACAGATAAAAAAAAAATTAAAACATGAATATAAATCTTACTAATAAATTATTAGACTATATAATTTTTTGTTCTTATAAAATTTTAAAATATAACCTGATGCTGAGCTTTTAAAAATTATAAAAATAAAATTTTTGTTTTAATTTTTACAAAAAAACTATTCAGATAGCAAATATATATATAATTGCTTATTAAATTTAGCAAAATTTAGCCTAACTGTGTTATAAGAACAAAAAAATTAATCTTGCTTGGCCTTATTAATATAAAAAAAAAATTAGTAATTTTTTTTACTCTTATACATAGGCCTAATAGAGTTATATCAACTTTTACATCTATTTGCAAGAGCATTAACATTAATAGAAGGCAATTAGTATTCAATGTTGAGCATGATGTATTTAACAGTATGCTATCTTTTTAAACATTTAAATTCAATGAAGAACAGCTTACAAATATTGAGATTAGTAAAATGTATAAAGGTATTTACAAATCAATAGTATCTCAATAGAATAATCCAAAAATGGTCAGATGGCTTGCTTCCCTATTTCAAGACATTGTTGACTGCCTTATCCACAAAATAGCAAGAGGTGCTCTGAGAACTACATGAAGAAATTAAACTTTCTCACTATACAAATAACCTACTAACTACTAATAAAACTCTAAATATAGAAATGTCTTCTTTTTTGATAATGGAATTGAATCTTCATTATCTTTTTTAATTGACACTGAAATTTAAATATACTTCTTAATTCTGCAAATTTCTAAATATAATCCAAAAGACCTGTATTATAAAAAGTACAATTCATTAAGATGATAGAACAAGCACAAAAGTGCCTTACTTCTTTTTGCAAAACAAGTACAGATTTTTCTTGGCATTCTAGCAACCTCTGTACCTTTTAAATAACTCTTTTCTGATGCAAATAATATCATAACAGATAAATATAACTGTTTAAGTTCTGATTCAGTTCATAATCTATTATTCTTAAAAAAAAACTCAAAAATAATTAACATATATGTTGGTTTATAAATTGTTCTACAGCTCATATGCCAAAAGGTTAAAAAAAAAACTTGTACATGAAAATAAGTTTAAAATTAAAATAGATTTTTTTTTTTATAAATTTGATTAAATAAAGTAAAACTATCAAATAATAAAATAAAACTATATATATAGTAATCAATTGTTTAGATTATTTTATTAAGAATGTATAAAGTATCTTGCATTTGATCAGTCAATGTGCTTAGAATTAACCAATTAGGTTGATTAACTTTAACTTAGCTATTTAAGCTGATTTTTAAATATTAACTTAGTCAAGTTGATAAATTAAGATTAACTACAAATACTACAAAAAAATAAGAAATATAAAAAACAAGATATTACTAAATATAGTTAAATTAAAAGATAAAAAAAAAGGGGTGTGGTGACTTAGTGAAGTGGATAAGTTGTCAACCCCCCAAGTGGTAGATTGTGAGTTCAAAACCCACCGACGGTGAAAAATTTGAATAAACACCTATGTAATACATAGACGGTATTACGGCGATGGCATTCTGTCAATCAGTTGGGATAGGATACCTGTAACTATGGTCGCACTAGCATGACTGGCAGGTCACGGGGCATCTGTGTAACCTTGGTTACACAGAGGAAT